CGCTCTAGATACATAAAATAAAAGTGAGTTCCTGGCAGCCAAAAGAAGCTCCAAGTACAGGCCATGTTGGGAGTCAGAGAGTCTTCATCCCCTCCCCTGCCTGATTTCTCCAAACCAGTTTACACTAACATTTGCATTCTAACCCACTCTTGGGAGGCACCGATATCAGGTGCTAAATCCAATGACACTTCTTGGGACTTACCTCTTTGACTTCTCAGATATCTGGCTTTCTTTGTTTTCCTCCTATTGTTTTTATTATTCTTCCCTAAGAATCCAAGTTTCTCAGAGGTCACTTTCCTTGAGTGCTCCGCCCAGACTCCAATGGCTTCATTGGCCACTTAGGAGAAGATGACTTTCAAATATCCCCAGATCTGAGCTGTGTCTCCACTGGGGACACAGCTATCTGGGAGATAACCCCTTCCTACCATCTATCTGCTTTGCTCATGGCAGATACAAGCATCAGTTCTAAAACCTCTGCCTCTGGGCCTTTCTTCTATCCTTCCGTCACTATCCTCGGGTTCGGTCCTTTGTTTATACTGTCCATTTCTTCTTATCTCCATCCCCATCTCCAGGGCTTATGCCTCATTGCTCAGCTTCTCAAACACGCTGTAAAATCTGTTCCTGGTTTTATAAACAATATCAAGTTTCATTACCTCTGGAACTTCATATATGCTTCAACTAGCTTCCCCACCCAATGCAAATTCCCAGCTTCAACTATTTCCTCCAGGAAATAGTCTCCTATCAGGCCGGGTTCAAGTCCTTCTCGGTGGGCTTATTTAGCACCAGTGCTAAATCCAGACATTACTAATTTGCAACTATCTGCCTATCTGACTTACTGAACCTGAGCTTTTAGTCTCCTGGACTTTCCTTCCTGGGCTGGCTTTGAACCATTATCCCCAGATCTCACCCTCCTGAGTAGCTAGGATTATAGGCGTGAGCCATCGTACTCAGCTTGGACCTCGGATTTTTGAGGACAGATCTTGCTTACTTGCTCTCCTAGCACCTAGCATAGTCTCAGTTAAGGAGTATTTGTTGAATAAATAAGAGCCGTCTGCTTTGCTCTAAGGAGACATGGACTCTCACATGGACTGTCAATTCCTTCCTTCATATCAATGCCTCTGAGTTGTCTTTTGATTTAGATGAACTTAGTGAACTCCTTCCCCTCCCCCAACTCCAAATGCCTATACAAAAGGGGGAATCACTTCTCTTGGCCTGTCCTGCACTGCCCTAAGCCTGGGCTGAAGCTTCCTGAGAGGGAAGGGATGCCCTAAAATGTCTCCATTCTTCTTCACTCCCCACCCCATGAATGGCTGCCTGGTTACTACTGGGACCAGGAACCGGGAAGGGAAAATGTACAGGACAGCGTCAGAGCACAGCTGTCTCCGATTCTCCAGCCTGGGCTCTGTTCAGATTGTGACCTCCTCCTCCTGTAGAACCCCAGGGGACCCACAGTCTCCATACTTACAAAGATGATCATATTGAAGAGGGTCATCATGGTCTTGATGAAGCTGAAGCACTGCATGGTGGCTCCTGGGAGGCAGACATGTTCTAGTTAGGGTCCTGTGCCCCCCCCCCAATCCTGGGCTGCCCCTCCCTCCTTTCTGGACCCTGATTCACCAGGTTCTAGCATCCTGGCTCCATTGCTCACCAAGCTTTCCCTCCACCTGCACTCTGACACCTGAGGACTTTATCAGTTCGCATCCTGTTATCTGTGCTCACCACTACAGCTCACACCCTCACTAGCACCTAACGCTCAGATCCTGACACCTGAGGTTCCTGCAGGGTACCCCAAGTCTGTTTCCCACACAAACAGATTACTTCATGCCCTTCCCTAACACCTGTTTGTCCTGGGTTCCCTCTCTAGACCACCTCCATACCCTTCTTGTTACCTAAGCCCGTTTCCAGATAGATGTTGCTTTATAAGATCATCTCTATCCCATGCCATCACCTGTTCAGTCAAGACTCTTGGCAGAAAGTTCTGAGAAGAATCGGCTGAGGTTCCAGAAGGGACAAACGCTGCTCCAGGAAGCTGCCACTCAGTGGCCTGGCACAAGGACAGGCTGGCTCTCACACACCACTGCTTACCCCCAGGTAGGGCAGGAGCTTTACAAGCCAGCTTTGGCACGCCCAACCTGCTGGCCCCACCCATGACTGCCAGTCAGCCTCCCGTGGCCCCTGCTGCCCTCTACTGCCTGAAGATAGGTACCCACCACCACCACAGCAGGGCTCCCCCGAGAGATGCCACCCCTGGGCTAGGTCTCTCCTGATATCAAGAAGGGGAAGAAGCACAGGGGTGGGACAAATACCCCCACAGAACTTCTGTGTGCCCTCTGTGTGATAATGTACTTTGCTTCTGACTCTGTGTCTACTAAACCCTCCCCCATACCCTGTGTGTGCTTGCTGGTATATACATTTTCCCAGGCTGCCATTCATATATCCACACAGCAAATACACAGTAATATCTACAAACATCTACTCTTGCTCCTAAATGTATACATGCATGTACAAACACACACACACACACACACACACTTTGGAGGAAATAACTAGGTAAGCTTTAGCAGCAACTTCTGCTCTTACCTCTGAATCACAAGAGATTCCTAGTCCTCAACTACCCCATTTTTTTCCTCCTTTCTCTCTTTTTTTTTTTTTTCAGGTAAGGGGTAGGTTTATTCATCGATCTGGCTGGCACCAGGCCATGTTGGCTCTCCATGTGGCTGGGAAAGGCCTGGGAAAGAGAGAGAGCTGGAAAAGAGAGAAAAGAGCTAGAAAAAAGAGCATCTGGGAAAGGTGGGAAAGAGAGAGCTGGGAAAGAGAAGAGAAGGAAAGAGCTGAGAAAGAGCTAGAAAAGAGCAGAGAGAGCCTTCCTCCTTTCTTTCTTACTCTCTTTTCCCCTTTCCACCTTTATTTTCCCCCTTAATGTCTCCTAACACTTACATACTTTCCCTTGCTGCCAGCAGGTGTCACCGTGGTCCTACGAAGGAGTCACCTGTTCCAAGGCTGTATATAATCCCCCATCACCATCAGTCCTGGTGTGTGTGTGTGTGTGTGTGTGTGTGTGTGCGCGCGCGTGCACATGCTTGTTTCTGTAGGAAAGCCTCAACTTTCTAGCCACTCAGACCATATGCTCCTTTCCTGGTTTTGTCATTTCTCAGCTGTGTGATCCTAAGGACATAGACTTGTTTCTAAGTCTTTGTTGGTTGGTCTGTATAACAGAACAGTTATGGTTTTGTTTTTTTGTGTTTATTTTTGTTTGTTTGTTTGTTTTTCAGGGGGTGAGGGTGGTGATTGTGATGCTTGAACTGAGGCCTGGGTGCTGTCCCTAAGCTTTTGTGCTCAAGACTAGTATCACTTGAGCCACAGCTCCACTTCCGGCTTTTTTGGTGGTTAATTGGTGATAAGAGTCTCACAGACTTTCCTGCCTGAGCTGGTTTCAAACCACAGTCCTCAGATCTCAGCCTCTGAGTAGCTAGGATTACATGCATGAGTCACCAGCACCTGGCTGGTATAGATATTTTATTGAGATTTTTTTTTTCCCCATTCTGTAACACAAAGGATTGAGCTCAGAGCAAACACAGAAGGGAGCGACCATTGCTTAAGGGGCTGTAGGATGTAGAAGTGGATTTTAAAGCATGTATGTGTGTACATAGTATGCATGCTCGCCTATGTTTGCTTGGAGATTGAGCCCTGGCCTACAAGATGCTAGGTGAATGCTCTACCACTGAGCCTTCTGCCTAGAGGAAGTAGAGAGTTTTTGTGTGTGTGTGTTTTAATTTTTTATTATTATAAAAGTGATGTACAGAGAGATTCCAGTTACATAGGAAGTAGATTTTTAAATAAATATGTCATTTTTGTGTGGCAGGAGGCAGCTAAAAAGACACAAGAAGGGAAATAATATTGAAAACCATAAGCTAGTACAGTAGTACATGGCTATAGTGCCAGTTATCTAAAGGCTGAGCCAAGAGGATCACTTGAGTTCATAACTTTAAGACCAATCTGGCCCCCATAGTGGGATACCATCTAAAAAGAAAAAAGATTACAGATGATACTAATAGTACAAAGCATTTTTTGGGGGGGCCGAGGGGGGAGGCTGGGAAGGGATGTGAAGGGTAAACAAAAGGAGGAGGCTGCAATGCTTGGCAAGAAATGTACGCATTATCCTGCCCATGTAATTGTAACCCCTCTGTACAGTATGTTCACAAATAAAATAATAAAAAAAGCATTTTTTAAAGTCG